TGTTCAGTTCATTTGCCAGCTCAAGGTCAGACTTGTCATTCTGGGAGATGACACTCTTTTTAAGCGGCATCCCCATCATAGATTTGACCCCTTCCCAGGCTGGGCGGGAGTTTCCAGAGCTGAGGAGCTTCTCCACTTTGTCCTTATAGGAGAACTTTGCAGCCTTCAAGTCTTTCCTCACTTGTCTCTGAAGTTCCCTATATCGGGCCGTGTCACCCTGGTTAAAACATATATTGCGCTGTGTGATCGAGTTTTTAAGAGATTTAGAGATCCACGGCTTATTATTTGGATAAAAGAGAATTAATTTCCGAGGAATGACCAAGCTTTCACAGAAAGTGACATAAGCAGAAACAGTCTCAGTCAATTCATCTAAATCCACACAGGCTTCTTTAAACACGTCCCAGTCAGTACAATTGTAACAGTCCTGGAGACACTGAATGGAATCCTCCGACCAAACCGGAACCAATCTTCGCTCCGGCTTGTTCCTCTTCAGGACCGGTTTGTATGTCGGAACTAAATAAACAACATTATGGTCCGACATGCCAAGAGGAGCTCTGCGGAGGGATTTATAAGCTCCCTTCACGGATCCATAACAAAGGTCCAGACATTTCGCCAGACGTGTCGGGCAAGTGACATACTGGTAAAAACTTCCCAAAGACTTTCCCAGTTTACAGCTGTTAAAATCACCCATAATAAAGTTTGGTGCGTCCGGCGCAATGCTCTGAAGCCGCTGCACAGTGTTAGCCATAGCCCGGGTTGCCATGTCAACATTAGCCTTCGGGTGAATGTAAACAAGTGTCACAAACAACTGTGGGAATTCCCTCGGTAAATGAAAGGGACGTAGGGATACAGACAATAGTTCAATGTCGGGTGAGCAGAGTGACTCCCTGACAACCACAGTGTTGCACCAGTTTTTATTCACATAAAGGCACAAACCTCCACCAAGTGACTTGCCGGTCACCGCGGGGTCTCTGTCGAGGCGGTATGGAGCTCCAAAGCCCTCGACTTCCAGGTCGGACTGAAGATCCGAGTCTTTGAGCCACGTCTCCGTCAGAGCAAGAAGGCAAGCGCTATTATACTCCTTCAGGAACCGGGTGTTCGCCCGAAGCTCGTCGATTGGGCGAACTCCCATGAGCCTTCGAGCACCTGATGGAGGGTATAGAGCTGGTCCAGTGTGCTGCAACCGGGACGAAAACCAGACTGCTCCTCCTGAATCCGAGGTTCGACTATTGGTCGTATCCTCCTCTGCAGTACCCTGGAATAGATCTTACCGGGGAGGCTGAGGAGTGTGATCCCTCTGTAGTTGAAACACACCCTCCGGTCCCCCTTCTTAAACACAGGGACCACCACCCCATTCTGCCAATCCAGAGGCACTGTCCCCAACCGTCACGCGATGTTGCAGAGACATGTCAACCAGGACAGTCCCACAACATCCAGAGTCTTGAGGTATTCAGGACGGATCTCATCCACCCCCAGAGGTCTGCCACCGGGAAGCTTTCTAACCACCTCTGTGACTTCAGCCCGGGTGATGGTCGAGTCCGCCTCTGAGTCCACAGTCTCTGCTTCCTCTTCAGAAGACGTGGCGGTGGGATTGAGGAGACCCTCAAAGTATTCCTTCCATCGCCCAACAACCTCCTCAGTCGAGGTCAGGAGGTCCCCACCCGCACCAAAGACAGTGCTGATGGAGAGCTGCTTTCCCCTCCTGAGGTGCCGGACGGTTTGCCAGAATTTCTTCAAGGCCGACCGGTAGTCCTCCTCCATGGCCTCCCCAAACTCCTCCCAGACCCAGGTTTTTGCCTACGCGACCGCACGAGCTGCCGCACGCTTGGTCTGCCGGTACCCGTCAGCTGCTTCAGGAGTCCCACAAGCCAAAAACGACCGATAGGACTCCTTCTTCAGCTTGACGGCATCTCTTACTTCCGGCTGCCACCACCGGGTTCGGGGATTGCTGCCGCGACAGGCACCAGAGACCTTACAACCACAGCTACGAGCGGCCACAGCAACAATGGAGGAGGAGAACATGGACCACTCAGCCTCTATGTCTCCAACCTACCTTGGAATCTGAGAGAACCTCTCCCGGAGGTGGGAGTTGAAAACTCTGCTGACAGAGGGTTCCGCCAGCAATGTCAACAGACCCTCACAATACGTTTAGGTCTGCCTGGTCTGAGCAGCTTCTTCCCCTGCCAGCGGATCCAACTCACCACCAGGTGGTGATCGGTGGACAGCTCTGCCCCTCTCTTTATCCGAGTGTTCGAGACACGTGGCCGGAGATCTGATGATACAAGTACAAAGTCGATCATCGACCGCCAGCCTAGAGTGCCATGGTGCCACGTGCACATGTGGACACCCTTGTGCTCGAACATGGTGTTCGTGAAGGACAGGCACAGAAGTCCAGCAACAGAACACCGCTCGGGTTCAGATCGGGGAGGCCATTCCTCCCGATCCCCCCTCTCCAGGTCTCACTGTCATTGCCCAAGTGGGCGTTGAAGTCCCCCAGTAGAACAAAGGAGTCCCCAGTTGGGGCACTATCTAGCACTCCTCCCAGGGACTCCAAGAAGGCTGGGTACTCTGCACTGCTGTTGGTCCCGTAGGCCGGGACAACAGTGAGAGACCTGTCCCCAACCTGGAGGATGCGACCCTCTCGTTCACCGGGGTAAACTCCAACACGTGGCGGCTAAGCTGGGGGGCAATAAGCAAGCCCACTCCAGCCCGCCGCCTCTCCCCGCGGGCAATGCCAGAGAAATGGAGCGTCCAGCCTCTCTCCAGAAGTTGGGTTGCAGAGCCCAGGCTGTGTGTGGAGGTGAGGCCGACTATATCGAGTCAATATCGCTCAACCTCCCACACAAGCTCAGGCTCCTTCCCCCCCAGCGAGGTGACGTTCCACGTCCCAACAACCAGAGGCTGTGTGTGCGGACCAGGCCGCCGAGGCAGCCTGGAAAACAATGTCCACTTTGATAGAATCAAGTTTTAAATAAGATTAAAAATGAGCTCAAATGAACACATTTGAACATGAGAGGTGGTGCTGATGAAGGTTCTTGAGTCCATAAGCAGATCTAAGACTATGATCCCTTTATAATAGCAAAACAAACATCGCTGACACATAACTGCACAGTGACCTGGACTTAAACTTGTTTTTTGGTTGTTTCTTTATTTATTTGTTTTTTAAAGTCTCAGTTTCATAGCCCACACAAAACACAGGTATTTACAGGGAGTCAACAGGATTGGTGGCATTTAACTGCTGCTTGGAGCCTGGGCCTGGTGGAAGCTGGCTGCTACTTAGAGCCTGGACCTGGTGGAAGCTGGCTGCTACTTAGAGCCTGGGCCTGGTGGAAGCTGGCTGCTGCTTGGAGGCTGGGCCTGCTGGAGGCTGGCTGCTGCTTGGAGCCTGGGCCTGCTGGAGGCTGGCTGCTNTAATAATAATAATAATAATAATGTTATTATTATGACATACTGGATAGCCATATAGCCATATGACTGTTTTTAAAACACATGAATGAGTGTAACCCTGAAATTGTTTTCCTGAGGAGATAAAGCAGCCGGTAAGGATGTCCTCAGTGTTAGGGTTTGGACAGCATGAAAGAGGATTTAACCAGGGAAAACATCTTTAACGAGGCCAGAAGTCACACCCATGGGTTCCAGTAAGTCAAAACAAAGCTGTCATCGACGAATTTACCCACGATGTTGAACAAAATTATTTTAATGTCATTTTGTCCAATTGAGCTTTGCATGTCTCCTGGAAAACTACACCTGACACAGGCCTGTGTTGAGAGGGGGGAAATTTAAATTTTGTCAAAGGACTAAACATGCTACATCATTGGAAAGGACCTGATCAGGGGAGTAAGGTTATGTCAGTCTGGAAGCTCAAAGTTGCTCTTGCTCAGAGATATTGACCTTTGAACTTTGACTGTGGTGCATCTTTTAAAGCTTCTAATTCAACAATGAAAGGGGCTAGAATCATGGGACCAGCTGTTATACAAAGCTCTTAACTTCTACTATCATGTAGGCTGTGGCTTGATGTTCGCACCAGCAGGGAGCATCACAAAATGTGGTAGCAATTTAATTTCACCTATATATATATATCAATTTAATTTGTAAAGTCAGTCCAAATAAACATGTTCCTCATCAGTTTAAACCCCTAAATGCACCTAAAGTTTTATATTTCACCCTCCATTTAGGAGAAATGGCTATTTTGAAGAAAAAACTACAACTTCCAGTAGCGATACAATACAACATGATTGGACACGTCATGAAATATGTAGTTCTTCTTTGGGTTTACAGCTAGGCTTGTGTTTTTGTTTTAACAAACTGAAATACATGTTTTGAAGTACTGACAAATGTGCTACTGTTAAAGTATAATATGTGTAGTATGAAATAAGTGTAAAAGAGTACATCGTATTGTGGTGTTTTTTGTGTTTTTATTACACCGGCAGTGTTTGGGGGAAATTTGCGCTCGTTGCTAAGGCAACCCTGTTAGTGTCAGCGCGCAGCCTCACCATAGACCCGAAAGAGATCTGTCCTATAGGATCGGTAATGCTTTTGTGTGTACAGTAGGTGGCGGTAATGCACCTGAACGTTGGATGCCAACCGCCAAATCAATAGAAGGAGAAGAAGCAGCAGAAGCCGCAGCAGCAGCTAGGCTAATAGCTAATGTAGCCAGCCTTGACAAGCGAGCTAAAAGCTGCACAAAGCTCCAGATACATTCCCCACCGCTGGCCTCTCAGTTACAACAGTCAGGTTATGTATCGTTGTGTCCTTCTTTTCAGAGTTGTATTCGTTTACAGAGAAATGAAAGTAACGACGAGCATGTAGCCCAAACATAGTAAAAGCACTTATATTTATGTTTATTTCTATGTTTTATATTTATATCAATGAACGATATCGTTGGGATCACTTTCAGAGCGATCTCAGAACAATTTCTCTTTGTTTGGGTATATTTCTTGTATTTTCTATTAATGAATATGGAGCTTATAGCAGCTGGAGCACACGGTACCGGCTCTGCACCGGTGTTTACAGAATGTTAACGTTGGTCAGTGTGTGCGCACACATCTTTATAGTGATCTCTATAGTCATTAGTGTGGACGGACCATAACAAAAAAATTGGTTAATGCCTGACTGTCGGAGAAAAAGAAAGACAAAAACATCACAGTATATGCGCCGTGTGATAGGGAAAAAACATGTCCCAGACACGAAAGATAAGTCCAATTGAAATGTATTGGTTTGACATTCATGCTGGGGAACACGACAAAGTTGTTCAAATCGTGTCCCAGGACACGGAATAGTAGATTAAATTTCGTGACTATTTAACGAATTGCCGTGAGACTGCGTTGGTATTTCAAGGTGATGCTTTTGTTTTTTTTTATTTTGTTTTGGTTTTTTTCCTCCTTTCCTTTATTCATCCATCCATCCATCCATCCATTGTCTTCCGCTTATCCGGGGTCGGGTCGTGGGGGCAGCAGGCGGAGTAGGTCGTCCCTGGCGGAGTCCAACACCCACTGGGAACGTGTCCGACTTATTGCCGAGAATGCGGACACAGCTCGCACTTTGGTTATACAGGGACCATATGGCTTTTAGCAGTGAGCCTGGTACCCCATACTCCCTCAGTACCCCCCACAGAGCTCCTCAGGGGACACGGTCATAGGCCTTCTCCAGATCCACAAAGCACATGTGGACTGGCAGGTCGAACTCCAATGCCCCCCTCAGCAGCTCTGCAAGGGTAAAGAGCTGGTCCACTGTTCCACGACCAGGACGGAATCCACATTGCTCCTCCTGAATCTGAGGTTCGACAATCGGCCAAAGCCTCCTTTCCAGCACACTAGAGTAAACTTTCCCGGGGATGCTGAGAAGTGTGATACCTCGATAATTGGCACACACTCTCCGGTCCCCCTTTTTAAAAATGGGAACCACCACCCTGGTCTGCCACTCCACAGGCATTGTACCCGATGCCCACGCGACATTGAAGAGACGTGTCAGCCATGACAGTCCGACAATGTCCAGAGCCTTCAGCATCTCAGGGCGAGTCTCGTCCACACCTGGCGCTTTGCCAACGAGGAGCTTCTTAGCTACCTCGGTGACCTCTACCACGGATATGGAAGCAGAAGCCCCCGAGTCTTCAGGCTCTGCCCCTTCATCAGAGGATGTGTTTACCGGGTTCAGGAGTTCCTCGAAGTGCTCCTTCCATCGCTCGACGAGATCCCCAGTCTGGGTCAGCAGTTCTCCTCCCTGACTGTACACAGCCTGGGCGAATCCCTGCCTCCCCTTTCTGAGGCGTCGGACAGTTTGCCAGAACTTCCTCGGGGCCGACCGAAAGTCCTTCATCATAGCCTCCCAGAACTCCTCCCACACCCGAGTTTTAACTTCCATGACCGCCGCAGCTGCAGCCCTTTTGGCCAGCCGATACCTGCCTGCTGCTTCAGGAGACCCCCGAGCCAACCAGGCCCGAAAGGTCTCCTTCTTCAACCTGATGGCTTTCCTCACCGCCGGTGTCCACCAGCGGGTTTTGGGGTTGCCACCGCGACAGGCACCAGTGACCTTTTGGCCACAGCTCCTTATGGCTGCTTCTGCAATGGAGGCTTTGAACATGGACCACTCTGACTCCATGTCCCCAACCTCCCCCGGGATGCAGGAAAAAATCTTCTGGAGGTGGGAATTGAAAATTCCATAGACAGGGGCCTTTGCCAGACGTTCCCAGTGCACTACGCATTTGGGTTTACCAGGTCTGTCCGGCAGCCTTCCCCGCCATCGGATCCAACTCACCACCAGGTGGTGATCAGTTGACAGCTCTGCTCCTCTCTTCACCTGAGTGTCCAAAACATATGGCCGCAGATCTGATGATACGACTACAAAGTCGATCATCGACCTTTGGCGTAAGGTGCTCTGGTACCAAGTACACATATGAGCAACCTTATGTTCGAACATGGTGTTTGTTATGGCCAATCCGTGGCTAGCACAGAAGTCCAAAAACAAAACACCGCTCGAGTCGCATCTGACCCCGATCCTCTTCCCCGAGGGTGGTGAGTCCTCTG